CTTTTGTCTCTCTCTTCGGCTCTGTCTTATAATATCATCAACTCACCCTCAATGATGCGGTAGGTGTCTGGTATCCTTATGATTTATGATGTCGCTTCCTTAACACAAAAATCCATTACTTCTCTGTCTTGTCGTTTTGGACGTTGTAGTCATGATCATAATAAGATATTGTTGCAACGCATTGTCAATTTTTATTGTGGCTTTCGACTCTATTCATGTCAGATATTACATTGGTCGGAGAGAAAAACAAAATATTCCTTATAAGGGTGTAGAAATGTCAAAGATGTCTTTTAAAACCTTCTTAAGGAAAGCTGGAAAGCTCGAAAGAAAAATACTGTTTTTCTCTTTCTTCCTTATCTTAATTTTTCTTATTTTCTTTAGCACGGACGTATAAATAATAATTATTAATAACAAAATTCAAAGCGATTTCTCAATTTAAGGGTTTAATCCTAATTAATCATCCACCGAGGAAAAATGCAAAAAGGATAAGGTGAAAAAGTGGGGTAAATTTTTTTTGGATAAGTAATAATGTATGGTAAATATAATGATTTGATTTGAAATTATTTGGATTTTGTGAAAAGGTTTCGAGAGTCAAAAAAAAAAAAAAAAAAAGAAGAATGGATTTGATGTTCCCTCTAATCATTAGGATTGCAATTCCGTAATGATTCTTCGTTGATAATAAGCTCTCGTAACAAAATATTGAAGGCAAAAGGAGTCGAAGTGAACCAAGGTGACTATAAGTCAAAGGTTGACCAGCGTATTCGGGCCCAATTGAATTCTAAAAGACTTATTTGACATGTCAAAAGTGTTACAATCGCACTTTTAATGACAACAGACTTGCGATTGTGTGGCACTCACTTTCCAACGACAAGTGAGCTAAGCCAATTCATTCTTCCGTCGCCTACGGCCAAGCGACGTATGCTCGAGCCTCTAGCCTCGGTTTTAAAAGAAGGTTTTAGAAAACGATGGCAGAGAAAGATTTTTGAAAAATATGTTATATAAGCAAGCAAGAGAGAAATAACAACGGCTCACAATATATAACCTTGGGACATTTCATGTTTGACAGGTCTAGACATACTATTTCTGAAACGTCATACTTCATAGAAATACAAAAGTAAAACACTAGAATATGAAAAGACATAAAGGGTTGGGCTTGTCATAGGCATGCGCCCATGGACAACACGCTTTAAACGAGCATGACCGTGACAAAAAGCTCGCGGCTACTTGAGTCAAGGATGAGGTGACCTCAACACAGGTTTGATAAAGAATTCAATGCTTGTCTAAGCCAATATATTAATATATGCATTTAAAGCTAGACTAACTATTTATCGAGCAATTATGGATAGGAATATCAAAATGTAACTTATTTAGGTACCTTCAAAATTTAATGCTACAATATAAAATAAATATAAAGTAGTATACTATTGATTTATTTTAATTGAATGATTAAATTGTTTAAAAAAATTTTAAAAAAAATGTGGAGGCTAATTAATGAGGTTGTGATAAATAAATAAAGGTTGCCACGTGGCATTAGGTGGGTTGACTGAAGCCGAAGAGAAGTGGAGGTGGTCAAAGTAAAGAGGAGATGTCCGTGATCATCTGCGCAGAGGAATGCCCTATCATCTTCTTGTTTTTTCTACCTACGTGTCCACCGAAAGTGACGTCACCCACCCTTCCAATCACGTGCTCCCTATCTTGCCGCATGTGATCACTTTTTTTTATGTTCCCCTCACCCTTTTCTTAAATACATTTTCCCATCCAACTCATCAAGCCACGTGTACGTAGCGTATTGGCTGTACTTATTTTTTCAATTTTAATAAATTCATAAATAAAGAAAAAATTAATTAATTAAAAATTCCAAATTTGATTTTCTTTATATGTGGCTTTCCATTATCATAGGCACCGATCTATGGTGAGTAGGTTTATATAGACTAAACATGATTAATATCTTTAATCCACTCTCGATCATGATCTTCAAAAGATTCTCACTTTGGAGCACGAGGATCAAATATTTCAACCATTTTTATTACTATTATTATTTTAATTAATTAATTTGCTTTATTTATACAATTTAATTTAAAATTAAGTGTTTATTATTATTAAATGATTTATAAAATAATTTAATATCAATTATGAAAAAAATATTAGTATGAAAGTAATTGTTTTGATTGGAAAGTCGAGTTTTCATTAACATATGTAAGAACAAAAGGGAAAAAGTTGAGAGATTTATAATTTGAAACGCAATTATTGTCTTCGGTCAAAAATAAAATGGCCGTCTTTCTATTAATTCACGCTTGATTTGATTTTTTTCTAATCTCTAAAGTGATCTTATAAATGGGAACTAATCATTTTATCCTATTTCCTTTTAGTGTCTCGATGTTTTTTTTAATAAAAAATAAGATCTTTGTTTCAAATCATTAAGAGAAATGACAGAATTATTATTATTATTATTATTGGACTGTTAAAATGTATTATATTGATTTTTGTTAATATAATTATTGTTTTTAGTTTAATAAATATTTTGATGTTTTATGTTAATTAAATTATATTTGGATGATATTCTAAAAATAGTCGACATTTTTGTCCGTGGTGTTGGGGTCGTGGGGCGTATTTGTGTGCAAGTACTTTTGGGCGGTGAAATGGTGAAGACAATTATTTTATTTTAATTAAATTAAATTATTTTGTCATATTTATGACTGTCACGTATTTTTGTTCCAACTACTTATTTATTGTGGCTATGAAGCTCTCGAATATTGGAATATTCCACTTAATATGTTCCCCAATTTTGTCTCATTAAAAATATTTATTTACGGGATACAAAATAAAATATATATTAATATTTGTCGCTGGTATGATAGAGCTATACTATGGATCTTTACTACAAGTGTACATTTGAAACTCGCAATTTATTTGTTTGACACTCGATGATTTTGTGTTGGATGATGAAAGTCCCACATCGACTAATTTAGGGGATGATCGTGGGTTTATAAACAAATAATACTCTCTCCAGTGGTGTGAGGCCTTTTGGGGAAACGCAAAGTAAAGTCATGAGAGGTTATGTTCAAAGTGGACAATATCAGACCATTGTGGAGAGTCGTGTTCATCTAACATGGTATCAAAGTCATGCCTTAAACTTAGTCATGCCAATAGATTGATATCATTGTGGAGAATCGTGTACTTAGTCATGTCAATAGATTGGTCCTCGAAAGCAGTAAAAAATTACTAAGACTCCAAAGGAGTCGAGCTCGATTAAGGGGAGGTGGGAGGCGTACGTAATGGACAATATCATGTTATTGTGGAAAGTTGTGTTCATCTAACAGATTCTACTAACATAATAAACGAAGGATACCCAAGTGGTAGATTTTTTTTTTCGATAACTCAATTATAAGAATTTCATAATCAAACACGCTTTTGTTGAAGCAATCTTCGTTGGGTGATGTTTTTTTTAAATTAGGATGGATTCAGAATATTTATAAAAAAATGCAACCGATAATTTTAAAATTTGGTTGGAATATAAAAATTGGAAAAGTAAATACTTTTAATTTATATTCCACGCGTTTACTATTTTGCGGCTACTGAAGGCACTGCAATGGCATCAAATTCTTAGTTCTGCAAATATATATAAATATAATATAATATTATATTATTTATTGTTTTGCGTTTGGTTCAGTTGTTTTGCTGTCCTACGATGGGTGAGGGGGAGACCGGTATTTTACTGTTAAAAAAATGCACCCTGTCTGTAACGCTACAGTACAGAATATTCATACACTGCACTTTGGACGTACATCTATACGTGTCACCGCCCCATCGACCTCTCTCAAAACCTCTTCATCTGGACCCTACGTACTAATCTGCCGTATTTCAATACAAACTCCATAAATTATATTTTTCAATTTATTCACTTATTTTGGTAATTTTACTTAAAAAAACACATTTAAATGAACCTTTATATAATTTTAATCGCATTAAATAGTAAAATCATAAAAGTCATAACGAGGAGGCGGTGATCGTAACATAAAGTTATTACCTTTTCATCTTTAAATATCTTTAAATATCTAAAGGGTGAGATTTACGCGCGAATAATCTAATTGTTTCTTACTTGTCCTCCACCCATTATATTCCATTTTTCTTTTACAGCAACGTTTATCTAATAAAATAAATATATGGAAAATATAGTTTATAGTATTAATTTAAAAAAAAAATACTAGATTGGATATTGAAGAAAATTGGTTGGTCAAGCTACTTTCATATATTAAATTAAATTGACTTTTTCTCCAGGAATAAATTAAATCGAGAAAAAAGTTGAACATTTATCTTCTAGAAGATATTGTTTAAAATGTTTAAAATAATAAATCCTTTTTTTTTCACATTTTTTATGTGTTTATTTTAACAAATTATGGTAATATTGATTTATAAATTTTAAATTCGTAAAACATATTAGTGAAACCTCATTTTAAAGTTTTTTATTTATTTATAAAAATATATTTTTACCTAAAGAAAAAGGTAATAAAATGAGCATTATTTTCAGGCACAAAAATAAATAAATAAATAAAATCTAAGATTTATTAATTCGTCTTATCCCTTTTTCTCTTTCTTCCTTTACGTGTTAAAATAACCAGACGAAATGGAAAAAATAAAAAAAATAAAAAAAGGAAAAAAAAAATTAAAATCCATTTCATTAAGAAGGAAAGAATTATTGAGTCAACCCATATCATTCGAGATGTTTTTCCTTATCCTTCACACACACAACAAAAATCCCAAAAATTAATAATAATAATTAATAAAATATATAAATTAAGGATGAAAAGACGAAAAGGCCCTTCTAGGTAGTTTCTCGTTCCCGTCAAACCCTCATCCGTCTCCACGTTGTGGATCCCCCTCACCAAACCCACGCCGTTTCCCACTGTAATTCCTACATCCAACCGCATCGAAACAAAACCCTGTAATTAATTACTTAATTAATCAATTAAGATATTAATCTCTTTTTTAGAGGTATTAACCACCCGTCCGTCCGGCGACCTCCTTATATTTAAAGTGGGTTGTCGATTGAGTCGCGTCTTCGGCGGTCGACGCGTGTCACCATCGTCAGCGAACGACATAGCTTCTTCTTCTCCGATTTGCATTTTTCTCTAATCTCTCTAATTCCCCGATTTCCATATCCATTTTCAACGAACACATTGGATTTTCTTTTTCTTTTTGTTTTCCCCTTCGTTAAGTTCGTTCCAATCTATAATTGAAATCCGTTTTCGCCGACCTTTTCGCTTTAGATTTCTGTTTCCCCGATTCTTCTCTCTCTCCAGCTATGGCCGTCGGTTGTGTGCGGCTTCGTTATAGAGAGACGTATTAATCCAAACCGCCTTCTTCCAGAAATCTTCGTTTCTATGATTGCCTTTCAACAATTTGGATCAATGAAGCCTCCGACCGAGTCAGACGACGTCACTTTCACTTCCGCCGCCATCTGTTTATCGCCACCGTCATCCTCTTCAGATCCCTCTTTTTGATTGCTGTTGTTTTTTTTCCTCTGTTTTTGTCTTTTGTTTTTCAATTCCCTATGCATTCTTTCTGCTGCGTCTCCACTGTCTCCGAGAACTCTCCTTCCAAGCAACCGCCGATTCCGATGCCGGACCTCCATATTGCACCGGCCTCTCCTGCTGTCTCTGTCGCGTCCAGATCCGATCCGACGATTCGAATTTCCAATTATGGGCATAATCGGAGTCTTAGTAGTAGCGATGCCGGACGCCTTAGTCAGCGGAGTATTTTTGCTGCTGAGATGGTTGGACGCCATTCCTCGGCTAGGGAGCCTCCGGTTGACGTTAAGATCAATGATATTTTTGGGAATGGTATCTGTGGGATACTCTACAAGTGGGTGAACTACGGCAAAGGTTGGCGTCCTCGTTGGTTTGTGCTTCAGGATGGCGTTTTGTCATACTATAAGATTCATGGACCTGATAAGATCGTTGTCAATGAGGAAACAGAAAAGGGATCGAAGGTCATCGGCGAGGTGTCGAAGCGGAGGATTTCGAGACATAAGAACGGGTTCTCTAATCAGACTCTCCAGTTCCCACTCAGGCGCAAGCCATTTGGGGAAGTTCATCTCAAGGTCTCACCAATCCGAACTGCTTCTTATAATATCTGCATTCAAGTACCATGGCATTCATTTTTCTTCTTCTCGTGGTTACAATTTTCACGCTTTATTTTGGAGGTGCTGATATTTTGTATCAACATCTTCCTTCATTTTATGAATCAGTTTGTGTTCATTGTTAGTTTCTGTTTGGTTATTACTTTGTTCGTTTCCTCCCCTTCGTAGAATGGAATTTAATTTCCCCATCCCTTTTATTAGTTGAAACTCAGCGTCTTCATCAATGATTACAATTGATCTGGTTGGGTTTTTGTCAAGTTTTCTTTCTGATCCTCTAAAGATGCCTTCCATGTTAATCGTGAATGAGACTTGAGAAATGATGTCTAGGATTCAGGTGTTTCTTTCAATTTAGTTCGTGAAACTCCTTGTTTTCATTCTGGTTCTGTGGATCATTTGCCACCGTTGAGTTGAATTTTCCTATGACAGGTCTCCTCAATTCGAGAAAGCCGGTCAGATGATAAGAGGTTTTCCATCTTCACTGGGACAAAGAGACTTCACTTGCGGGCAGAGACCCGCGAGGATCGGGTGGCATGGATGGAGGCATTGCAGGCAGTGAAAGAATTATTCCCAAGGATGTCTAACTGTGAGCTCATGGCGCCTATGGACTTCTTGTCTGTGTCAACTGACAAGATTAGACAGCGGCTTCTAGAAGAGGGTGTCAGTGAAACAGCCATTCAGGACACTGAAAATATTATGAAGACTGAGTTTGCTGCACTGCAAAACCAGCTTTTCTTGCTCAAGCAGAAGCAGTGGCAACTTATTGACACACTGCGGCACTTAGAGGTACATTGATACTGAATCTAGAATACTTCATATGAATCAAATTCAAGATTGTTTTTTTTTTTTTTGTTGTTGTTTCCTACTTTTACTGGAACCTTTCGATTCATTTACTAATGAGCGGGGTCATACATTGTTACTCTGTTCTGGAGAGTGTATATTTTCCCCTTCTAGTGATGTCTGATAGAATGCAAGGGGAACTTGAGTTTGTAACTTTGTAAGCACTTAAAAAATGTTCAATTTTAATAATTAGCAGCCATTTGCTTAAGTGCGTTTCCCCTTCCACATGGTGCTATGTTGATTGTTGATTCCATGGAGGAATTTAGGCCCAATTGATATACGGGTTATTTAAAACCCATTACTTTGGTGTACATCTCTTCATCCGATAATTCTAGTTCTGGTTGGGCATTGATGCACTTGCACCATTATGGTGTTTGGCTCTGTGTAGTAGTCACAAAGTGTCATATTTTCTCATTTACACATACTTATTCTCACTGAAATGTTTTATTTGAATCAAACTAAAATATTATGGAGTAATTACATTTCTCCACGAGAAATCCAAAATGAAGTCAAATATCCCCAGAATCCACGAAGTTTTTCAAACGACAAAACCATAGTTCCCACTTCTTCTCGCATAATTCCATTTGGCCATATCTAGGATAGTTTGTGTATGTCTGCCCTTATTTTAACTTTTATCGGTTCTTTCAATTTTTTTGTTCATATGTTATTTAGTTCCTTTATTGAAGTTTATTTACATGTTGGGCTGTTATCATTTTTTTTAACTAAACATTGTCTCCTTTATGTCTTGAGTGTATACCTCCTGTCTGAACTTTTCAAATTGGACTCTTTGAAGCACAATTCGAAGCTTCCCTGAGTTCAATTCTATATTGTAACTTATGTTTGGAGCACGTCTTCTGTTCGACGGTCACTCTCTGTTTAGAATAGGGCAACCTTGATTCCTAGTGGATAAAATATTTACCAAAACTTCTCAGATTTATTCCTTTCTTTGTATACCACCTACTTGCAGCTAGAAGCTAAGATTCTCTTTGGAAAACATGTCTGTACTTATCCTTTGGTTGTTTCATCAAGGATGTGTCTGCTGCTTGCTTTTTTTTTTTTGCTTTCACTTTGGAAATGATTTTTATAGGATCTCTTGATTGCTTTGCCTGAAGGTTGAAGTTAACCTTGAAAGGTTTTGTATGCTTGTTCCCTGCGCATGCATTTTTTGCTAGTTGTTTATATAGTTATTATATTAAGACCAATCAAATCATTTACTTAATTTGGATTCAACCTTACCTCTAAGCGATGTTGCGAGTGTTAATCCATGCAGACCATTTCTAATAAATTTTTTATTTCTAGATTTGATCCTCTAATTTCCATGAATAATTAGTTTTTTGTTAGCATTGAGTAGACCTCTAGTGAAATCAGTTACAATAGGAGTCCCAATAGAAGTTCACTGACTGACCTTCTTAAGTTCAGTCATATAAAATTATCTAATTCTGCATTTCGTTCAACATTTTCTTTTGGTTGTGCTTTTCGTAAACTTCTCCCTGTTTGTCTTGTGTAGACAGAAAAGGTTGACTTGGAGAATACAGTAGTTGATGAGAGCCAGAGACAGTCAAATGATCCTAGGGCCTTGTCTGGTCAGCTGGAAAAATTTAGTGGTGAGTTGTCATGCTTATACCTAATAATCATGGTTCTATATGTACTTCATTAATTTTGTATCATTGTCTCTTGGCATGTCACTTCTATTTTGTTATTGTTTTTTTAATAATTATTATCCAAAGCAATATTTTCCTTTGCGTTAGTTGCAGCTTTGTTTTTCTAATGATGGTATCTGAAACTTCTTTCTGGTGCTATGTTTTCTTAAGATGTGCTATAATAAATATAAATGGTTAGAAGAAAAGTTTTTATGAAACCATCACCGGAGCTTAGTACTAGACTTGGATCTGAATTGATGAACTGAGGTGAAGTATTGCTTAGCTGATCTGTCTCAAGCAGCACAGCGTGTATGAGATCTCGTGGATGGTAGTAAGAGTTTTTGTTAGAAGGCTATTGAATTAAAATGTGACTGGGCAGTCAAATTTGAAAGCACTAATGAGAAATTACTTATATTTTATATTCTGGAGAAGAAGCCACAGGGGGACTAAATAACAGTATAATTAGCTATAGAGGAGGAAGAATTGGCAACAGCAATGCAGTCCTTGAATCGATTAAGAGATAGATGTCTGACTAAGGGCGCATTCTCATAGCCTTTTTTTTTTCAAAAGAAAAATCCATGTGATCCATGTGAAGAATGGAATTACAATTAACTGCGAGCCTGTAGCTGATGAACATACTAATATCAAATACTAAGTTTTTACAAAGGTTGATGTAAGGTTGTCTTAACTCTTAATTTTAGGACATAGAAATTGGAAGTCCGACAACTGTGGCCAAACAATTACAACCCTGTACAAATTAATTTGGCATATTTATTATTTATATTCTCACTTATATCAAGATATATGATGACAATGTTTGCAATTATTTTCCTCCATGTTTACATTTCATGTCTTTTTGCCTCTTTTTTCAATAGTCTCGAGGTCCTTTTTTTACAATTTCTTAGCATAAGCACGCTGAACACTGACTTATTATGTATTCATCTTCTTATTCCTGACGTGTTTGTATGCAATTGCACATTCTTTTGGCCACTGGAATATATTTCATACTCTTTTCCTCTCTAAACTTTTCAATCTTGCTATAGATGTGAGTGCTACTGAATCTGATGATGATAATGAGAGAGTCGATGCTGCCGAGGAAGAAACAGACGAAGATGAAAACACATTTTTTGACACTCGAGATTTTTTATCATCGAGTTCGTTCAAAAGTAATGGATCCGATTACAGGATATCATCATTTTCTTCTGATGATGAAGGCCTTTGTACAGTTGATTCTGAGGAAGAGGTGGATCCATCAATTAGATCTGTTGGAACAAATTATCCATATGTTAAGCGGCGCAAGAAATTACCTGATCCAGTTGAAAAGGAGAAGGGTGTCAGTCTTTGGTCAATGATTAAAGACAACATTGGAAAAGATCTCACTAAAGTCTGTCTTCCTGTGTACTTTAATGAGCCTCTTTCTTCTCTGCAAAAGTGTTTTGAAGATTTAGAATATTCATACCTCATTGATCGGGCATATGAATGGGGAAGAAGGGTAAGTTGATGATCTATGATTTTATGCAGTGCAAATCTTTCAACATTTTTCTCTTTACATAACCAGCGATGGAGATTTCATGGAAGATTTTGCACAAACCTCTAGTGATACACGTGAAATTTAAGTAACTTTCTCGAAAGTGTAAAAAAAGAAAAAACGAAAACCTTGAATATCTTCATGCTCCCTAACGATTTTTTATTAGCTAGTTGATCTTTTACCAACTCTTCAGGGTGACAGCCTCATGAGGATTCTAAACGTAGCTGCATTTGCTGTATCTGGGTATGCTTCAACAGAAGGAAGAAGTTGCAAACCATTTAACCCACTGTTAGGGGAAACTTATGAGGCCGACTTTCCAGATAAAGGTCTCAAGTTTTTCTCGGAGAAGGTATTGTTTTTAGATTTATTTTTCCCGCGTGAGGGGTAGGAACCAGGGGCCTAATTCTATAAAATTTTATACAATAGTCGGTTGGATAAAGGAGAAAGGCCCCTGCCTAGAACTGCTGAATGGAAATTACATAGGCATTCTCCACTAGAAGTTAATCTTATGAGCAGAACAATTAGAAAACCTATCAAATTTGAAGCAATAAAGCATAAGCCATGTAGTTTTGGCCCCTAACAATATCCTCTGTTTTTTGCAACCAGAAATTCTGGGAAAAAGTGTTTAATGTGACCACATAGGGTTTTCTCTTTTAATTTTAATTTTATTTTACATAACTTTTCATTCAATTCAGTGGTTCCACCAAGAGAATTCAACGAAGCATGCCATATAGTTATCAAATACATGTCAATTTAATGATCGTTTTCTTTCAAAAAGATTTTTTTTTAAAAAAAAAAGTTATTTATTTATTACGACCACTGGGACAAGCTTGCTTGAAATGAACTCTATCCGGCATCGACTCATTACCATAGAACTTTTTATGTGGAACACGAACATATAACCTATGTGAAAACTTAATCTATTTGACATGTTTCACTTGAACTTTGCCCTTACTAGCTTTAATCCTCTGACACTTACATTCCAACAGTTTGTATTATTTGTCCGGATAAGGTGGAAAAGAGAAATGAAATGGGATAGCAGTGGTAAGTTAAAACTGTAAAAAAAAAAAATAATAATAATAATAAAGAACAAACGTCATCAGAACGATATTGTGGATTTCGTACTTTATAATTAGAAATTATCTTATTTATTTTGGTTGTTAACAAATTCTAGGATTCTACATTTGTGAGAACTTTTACGATTATTAATCCTCGATATTTCTTTAATCATAAACTCCCCATTCATGTTCTTGGAGTCACTGTGTAGGCCGTGTTAACCTTCAAGAGTGTCCTTCAATCTCTATGTTATTTCTTGTTTGAAGCACAATTTCCCTCCAAAATAGGATTTTTTTTTTCTCTGTGCACTCCGGCTAAAGGCAACATGTTCACTATTTAAACAATGAACAAAAGAGACTTGGACATATAAAGATCACGGGAGCATTTGTTATGTAATGATATTAGGTTATCGATGAGTTAGTACTACTGTCACATAGGACGTCTTTCATGTTCACATTCTTTTGAAATTTTGATTCATTAAGTCATCATTACTTGATGGCTTCATTTATTTATCTAGAATGCTTGGGTTGGACATATTCTAGTTCCTGTATTTGAATGAAAGAGTGAATGGCTTCATTGTTTTTGGTTGTTAGGTTAGCCATCATCCAATGGTAGTTGCATGCCACTGCGAGGGCAATGGATGGAGATTTTGGGGTGATAGCAATTTGAAGAGTAAATTTTGGGGTCGGTCAATTCAGCTTGATCCTGTTGGTCTCTTGACATTAGAATTTGATGATGGAGAAGTCTATCAATGGAGTAAGGTGTTACACCAATGATTGTTTTATATTGTTTAAATTCTCTTTTTCTTTGTTCTATTTTCCCATTTAGAATCTTGAATTATTTTGAACATTATGCATTTCTTGTAGGTGACAACGTCAATTTACAACCTGATACTGGGAAAGCTGTACTGTGATCATTATGGTACAATGCGCATACAGGGAAATCGTGACTACTTGTGTAAACTAAAATTTAAGGAGCAGTCCATTATTGACAGGAATCCGCACCAGGTAATTTCCTACAGTCTTTTATCATATATCTGAGAAATGTAGGATTGTTATTATTGAAAAGCATTAGCAAATATTTTTCATTTATCCTGTCAACGGTGTAAATCTTTGCCATCTTCATTGGACCATTGTTTCTATACCATGACACTTCTTCGTTAGATTCTTTGCCTCACAAGAGAATGGAGGGAGAAAAAGAAATCGATATAAAGTTATAAAAATGTTTCCAAATCACGTTGAGTTTGATTTTTGAGTAGGACTCTTTGCCTTCAACAGGAGGTTGGAGGTAGAAAAATGGAATCAATGGGAAGTTATAAAGATGTTTCCAAATCACGTTAATTGTAAGGATTGTGCTACACCCTTCATCCATGATGTGGAAGATATCATAAAAAAGCTTACCTATTACCCCGACGAAGTGGGGGAGCATAACCAATAAAAACCATTTTTGTTTGATTTTTGTTTTTATGCGTTTAGATTCTGGATGCAAATGAAGTTTCTGAAACTGGAAGGGTTTCATTGTCATGGGTGACAGCTTTACCACTCGAAGCTGGCTCATTTCTTATATTGTATAATAATTATTCAACTGGATGTTCCTATCCAATGAAGAAAAAAAAATCAACTGGATGTCATATTATCGTTAATATAGTGAACTTGTAAATTCTAAGTGATCACCTGGTGCTTTCACTTGATCCAATTCAGCTGGGTGAATTGGCTATTATGGGCAGGTGTCAGGAATGTGACTTTTTTTTTTTTTTTTTTTTTTAAAATTTTGGGATAAGAAAAT